TCAAAGCGTCCTTTCTGTTGCTTGTCCTCACTCATCTCCTCTGCACTGACCTCCGCTGGTCTCTTCACTGACCTATCTGCCTCTGCTTGCGCATCGCCAGCTGAAGCGGAAGCGGATGTAGCCCCGCCTGAGTCAGCATTTGTCTCCTCAGCTTCAACCTCAATCTCTCTGTCCTCATCTGGATGCTCTTCAGCGTACTTTCGAACATCATCTGCATCCTGATCTGCTTCTCCATCTTTCCTCTTTTTGTCTCTTCTTGAAGCTCTCGAAGTTTCATCAGGTTTTGAAGATGTATCAGCCAACAGCTCGGGTGTTGGAGTTGGAATGGGCTTCGTGTCAACTTTTGTATGCACTCCTCTTCTCATGTCCCACGGACCAACAATGGCGTTCACCAAAAGCTCTCCATTCCATGACTCTCCTGTCTTTCGAACTGCCTTACATCTCACCGCCTCATTGTTGTTCACAAGGACAAGGTCGTGGTCCATATGGTCCTTGCCCAACCATGCGCCGGGCCTCCACTGGGACTTGTACTTGGCTTGAAGAGGATCTAGGCCATAAACTGTTTCTCCAAAGCAACATACTCGTCCTTTGTATGGCCTGCCTTTGACTGACAAGTAGGCTGTCATTCCTGTTGCACTGGTGACGTGATACCTGTTGAGAAGCCAACAAGCATGTACAACAGCCCATGAATGCAAGACATGACTCTCATCGAAGAGGATCTGGGCACGGTCTTGTACATGTGCAATGATTGTCTTTGCTTGTGCTCTGACTGTTTGAATGCACCGCTCTGCCAATGACGTTCGTGCCTTGTCATAGAACTTGCCAGCTTGTAGGATTGTGTGCAATCCATTGCTGCTCCGAATCAGCTTTGCCATCCTCGCACCAGCAGCTAGCACCGGCTCGCTATCATAGGCCAGCTCCACTGTCTCGTAATGGCCCAACGTCGCCAAGAACTCAGCAATCGCCTCACCAATCACTCCTTGGTTCTTGTTCTTCAAAGGTTGAACCTGTAGGAACTTGCTCCATACATCAACGCACAGTAGGAGACTGTTGCTAGCTGTCTGGAAGAAGATGTCCACCTGCACAGTGGGATTTGTTCTGACTGCAACATCTGCTGGATCGCTGGCATACTTGATGTTTGCCTTGCTTTTGCCCATGACACAAAAACTGCACCACCTTTTGAATGGAAGGTGGGTGACTTCATGGGGTTTCCGCTCCTTCTCTGTTGGTTGAACTGGGGCATCAACAAACCTTGGCTCTGGACACAGCTTTGCGTAGTCTTGGCGAGCAACCTCAAGTGCACGTCTCTTCAACGACTGCTCATAGGCATCTCTGATCCTGTTGAAGATCTTCGTCTTGGAACCTGAGCTGCTCAACTTCAAAGATTTTGCTGCTTCCTTGAGGTCTTTCACACTGGATCTCTCTGTTAGCTGCATCTCGCCAATGAACAAAGTGTCCTCTGTGCCTCTGGGCTTGAACGAAGGTGCAATGATCGGGAACTCTGGAATGTCTTTCCCTTCAATCTCTTGCTCTTCAACCTTCTCACCTTCTGTTGTCTCCTCCATCTGAACCTCTTGCTCATCTTCCTGTTGTGCTTCAGGTACTGGTGGTTCATCACCTCCGATGAGCGTACCAAAGCTACCGAGGTTCTCCTCACGGTCGGACAGAATGGTCAAAATCACGTACTGTTCACCTGAAGGGATCTCGGAGATTCGACCAAATGGGTTCTCCTGTTCCAGAAACTTTTGTGCCACCTCCACAACTTGCCAACCTTCTTCTGGATTGATCACCTTCTGAATCAATGTTGTACGGAATGCAAAGTTTGCTGACCAAACTGCTCTTGGATCGGCGAAGTGAACTCCAACGTTCCTCATGTGGGGATGGTTGTTCGCGACATCCCACCTGCCATAGGGTAGTTCAGACTCGTAGTTCGGGCTGAGCCTGATCACTGCCCTCACTTCATACAACTCCTGGTCAATCTCTGTTGCCGTCACCTGGCAAATCATGGCCTCAATGGCAAACGAGTTGCGTTGGAACATCACTGGAATCTTCGCCTCTTGATCTGGCGAAATCAAGAACTGCTCTGGACCATCGCTCTTCAACATCCATCCACTCTTATAGAGCTCACCCAAGGACAAAATGCAGTTGTGGACATTTCCAACTAAAAACCGATGGTGAATCTCAACTTCCTCACCAGATTTTGCATCGAACACCACCAACGTTGCATCTTGCTGTCCTGCAGTCCTTAGGCTTGTACCTTGGCAGTCTTGAAGTCGAACGTTGCTCTCACCAATGTTCTCGTTGGCGTAGCTCAAGGGCAACAATGAGACATCTGATCCACTATCAAGGATCACCACTTTCCTGCAAGTCTCAACAACTTCTTCTTCAATGATCTCCTGAATGACCACGCAAACAGAACTGTCAGCATAGGTGCTCACTGAGGGCGGACCAATGTGGAAAATTCTCCTCACTGCAGTGTTCAAGGTCGATGCATTCGAAGCACTAGCTGTCGTGTTTGTTGTTGACATCTGATGACCTTGCTGCTGTTGAACATTGGTCTCTGTAATCTGCTGCACCCTCTGTGGACAATCGCGGCTCCAATGACCATAGCCAAAACACACTCTGCACTGGTTTTGACCAACATCGGAACCTTTCTTGCCGCTGCTTTTACCTTTCTGTTTGCCCTTCGACTTGCCACCTTGCTTGCCCTTGTTCTTTCCTTTCGACTTACCACCTTTCTCGAACTTGCCTTTGCCTTTCTGTTGTCCTCCACGGCCACCAAAAGGAAACTGCCACCAACTCTTGCCTTTGTCTTTGCCCTTTCCTTTGTACTTGCCCTTTCCTTTACCTTTCTCTTGCACTCGGTCCACCTCCATCGGCGCTGGACCGTTAGGATCGGGCCTCACATTCAAGGACTTCATGATCGACTCCTGCGACCAAGTTTTGCTTGCCTGCTCATGTGACAGAACAGCCTCCCTGATCTCCTTGTAGGTGGTCGTCTCCTTGATGGTGAGCTGGAGGTGCTCTCTCACCCTGTTCTCACTGCATCGAATCAATGTTGCTGCTTTCAACTCTTGTGGGTATGTTGTTCCTGACATCTTCTCAAACTCTTGCACCAACTGCTCTTAGCTGAGCACATTGTCGAGCACTGTCTTGTCCTTGGCAAACGAGGGATAGCTTGCCAGAGCCTGAGCAAGGGCCAGACTTCGTGCCCGAGTGCTTGGAAGGTATTCCTTGTGAAGCTCCTTCCACAATGCGAAACCATTCCGCTGCTCCATGCCTGATCTGACCAGGTGCAAGCATCGTCCTTTGAGGTAGCTGGTCAGGATTGCAAACAACCGGGTTGAAAACATCTGTTCATCCTCTGTATATGCAGACATTGCCGGCATGTGATCTAATTCCTCAACTTTCTCTAGAAAAGCTTTGTACTTCGGCTCTGCAAATGTCAGCCAGCTCGTGAACACAAACTTCCACGTCAAGAAGCCATGGGGATCACTTCCATCAAAAGTGTCTGGGTTTCTCAACACCTTGGATGCGGCCGTCAATCCAGCCTGCAGTGTTCCAGCCACACCTGCACTCGAACTTGAACTCGAAGCTCCACCTGCCGTCTGCAATGCTGTCAATGCATGCTCGGCTGCACTTGCTGCATTCGTGGCTGCAGCTGCAAGTTGCGACATCTGTTGGAAGAACTGCTCATCAGCTTGCATGCACTGAGTGGATCGCACCAAGCTTAGAAAAACCAATGTCCGTACCTGCAACCTGCACTCACTCTTCCTCCTAGCTACTTTCTTCTTCTCTGTCCTCGAAGATCGCCTCACACTTGCTGTCCAGCTCAAGCGGTTCATCAACCAGGTGATTGACAAGCTGAGGATCCATGCAACCCAACAACCTGTCACACCTGTTCTCCTCCACACGCTGCTCAAAGCCATCATACACCAACCTGTCAACTCTTCAGCCAACAATGTACGACCTGTATGAACAACTGCCTGCTCAAACTGCTTCAGCTTCTCCTTCATTTTCAACATCGTGCTCAACAGCTCATAATGCCTCTGGTTGCGAATGAATGGCCAATGCAAGACTTCTCTCAAGAAATCACTGCTTTCGCTCATCGACCACATCAACAAGCTAATGGCCTCGAAGAACCTGTTCATCCTTGCCAGATTCAACTCTCTCGCCTCCACAAGTTCATCTGTTGGGCTTTCAACACTCTGGTTCAAGTCTTCGATGGTTGAACTCTCATCCATCTCCTCGGTGAAGATCTGTCTGCTCTTAACTTCCGTCCTCAACGGCCATGTTCGACCTGCCATGACCTCTCCGGGCCAACAGTCCATGAAGCCTGTGACCATCTTCTCACACACAACCTCACCACTTTCACAACTCTTCACCTGCATGCCACTCGACCTGCGCCTCCTTCTCAACAACTTCAACTCAAAGCTTGTGGCTCCTTTGTTGCTCATCCTGCTCACCTCGTAGGCCTTGAACCCACTTGCAACCTCATGCCAGGCCTCAAACCCAGTCACCACATGCTGCTCATCCAGCATCGTCGAATTGCTGTCCCAGGAGCCCTCCGTCGTCAAGCTTTGGCTTCTGCTGCACGTGGTGGGACCATCCACTGCAGCTTCCATCGAGAGGTGCTCCATCGGCAGGAACAAAACCTGCCATGCGACATGGCACCAAGCCAAGGCGCGGCCGGGTAGCATCATCGCACCGGTCGGAACCAGTGCTCCGCTACCATCCGAAAGTCGCGGCCTTTTCCGCAAACCTTGAACCGCTATGTTACACACACATGATTTCGTGCGTGTCATCCTTGTGGCAGGGTGCACATGCTCAGTTCTGACACACTTGGATTCTGAACTTTTTGCTATGAACCCTTTTAAGGTCTGGTTTCTCTAGCATTACTTGCTCTTGTAACTTACTCATGCCACTTGGTTACCTAGGTTGTTGCACCCGCGACAGAGAGCAGCTGCATTCGCAGGTGTGTGTGTGTGTAGTAGTAGGTCCTGAAGCTTCTTGTTCTCAATCTGTGATCTCATGAGCTGCTCATCAAGTTGCAAAGCCTGCGCCTCAGTGGTGAGCAAGAGAGACTCGCCACCAAACTCTTTGACTGTCCCAAAAATTGGCATGGATCTACAAAGCTTTAAGACACTGACTTGCCTTTAAATGCCCTTAAAGTTGGTCCAAAACGCCTGTGGCAGCAAACAAACGGAAACGATAGAAGCGACCGAATCGTTGGCTGATTCAGGGGCTAACACGCAGCAAGCAATAGAGAGGGCTATCGCAAGCCATCAAGCCACCTTAAGAACTGGCGCGCATTTGCCCCTCTTGTTCCGGATGTGGACTTAAGCCTAACCATTTTCTGGAAGTAGATCAAGCCGATTGAGTTCTGTTGTTTGTTCCTTCATTAACTTGTTGGGACGGGCCGAGACCTCTGCAACCGTAACTGCTACTCTCCGCAGCTGGACTCGAGGCATGCAAAAGTCCACTCCCCCTCAACTCCACTCCATTCATTCTAGAGTGAAATATAGTATGATAATTCAACCATTCGTCTCTCCGCACGGGCCATTTTCAACCATCCTCGAAGAGGTGCACAGGCAGGGACATTTAGTCCGTGCTTTTCCACCCCCTGCAGACCGTTGTGGGCGGGGGGGTCTCGGGAAGCTTGAGACGCGCATACGAAAGTCACGGTTAGTGAAGCAACCATTCGTCTCTCCGCACGGGCCATTTTCAACCATCCTCGAAGAGGTGCACAGGCAGGGACATTTAGTCCGTGCTTTTCCACCCATCATTCCCATCACGTCCAAGCGCTTCGGTCTGCAGGAGTACGTACCACACCTCCGGAGGCAGGTGTAGTGCGGAGTAAAGGCGACAAAGTTCGAGAACTCTAGGGAACAGAGAGGCCAGGGTCAAAACCAAGTCCTTTGCAGTTGGGTCGATCTTCTTTAGGTACAAAAGGGCAGTCGTTTCTTGTACATACACTTCCATTACCTTCTGTGAAAGCCGCCTACCTTTGCGGCGACAGTACTCACCATCTTCAGTGCACTGCAAATGCCACGTCGCTCCCCCTGCAAAGTGAACCTGGGTCCAGTGGCTTTAGGGAGCCACCTTTCGTTGTAGGCAACTTTAAAGCAAAAAGAACTGACTGGAAGCGTGTCCTCAACGTCTGGCCCGATTGGCCCCACAAACGGCGACCACTTTCATAGTCACCGAAAGCCAAATCAACAACAGCTAGAAGATCAGGGACGTCGATTTTTCCCGCTTGGTGTTTGGCTCCTGTCTGACGGGTCTTGGGCTCTTTTATCGCCAGAATACCAAACTTTATTGTCTGTTCCACATCTCGAGGAAGTAGCAGGTCCAGCCTTAAGGCATTGAGAAACTCACCAGGGCGAAGCAGTGCACCCCACATGAGACAAAGCGCTCCCGCTAAGGGGAGCCATCCCCGCGTGAGACTGACTGTTGTCATGGCGAGTAACACTTGCCATGGCATGGCCACATGATGAGCCGTTGGTTCAGCTTGCATCCATTGGAATGCTAAGTCCCAGCTGCCTTGCATCCATCTTCTCAATACCGGCTTCTTTGAAGTGAGGTGATTAATTGTTTCAGCATATTGGTTATAGGGTCGTCCAGCTCTGTAGAGTGCGCGTCCAAAGGCAGTCAACACTGCGTTGATTTCATCAATGTAATGGCTATGGTCAGCCAACAATGAATCAAAATCAATACCTTCACAAACCAACCAAGCTAAAAACTGACCCCGGCGACTTTCTGGCTACAAAAAGGAGTTTTTTGTTTTGGGAGTGATGGCTCTAGAGCAGTCTGTGTTCGATGCGGGCGACTGGGGCCTAGCATATGTCCTGGCTTTGATCGAGGACCCGCCACCTACTATGTTCCAGGACAAGATGGCATCCCTTACAGCAGCAGGCAGACCTTTCTCGCCGTTGGTGCCTCCACAAAGAGATCGATCTGCTACAATCCAGGAAGGCAGATGCACGTGGAAAGAAGCAGCAAGGCGCAAAGGGAGTGGAGGAGAACTCCTCCCCTTCGCCGAAGAGGAAGCCAAAATTTCCGAAGAAGCCAAAGGCCCTCACCGAGGGCTAGGCAAACCCACAAATGAGCTTGAGTCAGAATTCAACCGGGAGGACGATGAACCTCTCACTGCATGGCCTGGCGATCCTGGGAGGGACCTTCGAAGGGAGAGTCTGAATCCTCAGTTTCGGGAGGGCTCTTCACTTCCCAGGCCTCCCCGCTCCCCACTGCTTGAGGGTGGTAAGGGTGAGACTTCCATTCATAGCCCGAACCACCTTGAGGCCGGGTTGAGCCGATCGCGCTTCCTCGAGTCCAGACAGGCCAACTTCCCAATGTGGTGTTCCATCTTGGTCAAACTGGTACTGAGATCGAGGAGTTCTTTTTCAGCATTTTTGAGTTCAACCATCCGTATTTCCAAGCAGATGGAGCCCCGTCTGCCTGGAACTCCGTCTTTGTTCCCTGTGCCCATACCTTCAAACGAGATTGGACGCAGGATGCCCACTAGCATATCTCAGAGCAGACGCAAGAGATCAGTGATTGACCGAGCACTTCACACCATTTGCATGGCCTTGAATTTTTGGCACTACGGTGGAGAGTTCAGTTGTATTCACAATTTGTGGAGGGAGCCAAACAGATAGCATGAAGCTCTCTATGATCGTGTGCGCTCCTTTATCAAGACGGACGGCCTGCTTCCTTGCTTTGATGCCCTGAAAGCCGGCCGAAGGAATCCAGAGATTTTTGCACGCCTGGGGGAGCTAACTGAGCTGCTCACACGGCTGGGATGCTCCTCCTCTCCCTATGACAAAGTTTTTGCAGGCACGGAGATGACAGCAAATCAAGATCTTTTCCAGAGCTCATTCCCTATCGGGACCTTGACCCGAGTCGTCTTCGATTGTTTGGGAAAGGACACTGGGATGTGACAGACTTCCTGGATGATTCCCTGGTGATGGCCTACAGAGAACCTGCTTCGATTCATTGGGACAGAGTGCCTGAGGAGTGGGAGTACCCTCGACTGCGTGATGATGCGCAAACCATAAGTCAGCTGGCCCGTGTTTGGGATCAACAAGGTCTGCTTATTATGCTACACCAAGAGAGGGTTCCTGAAAGACCGGAGTTTGAACTGGTGCGCATTTTCAACTGCTACAAAGCTGCCGACCGTGACCGTCAGATTGGAGACAGACGTGGACGCAATGCAGTTGAGTTCAAACTGAAAGGCCCTTCGTCAGATTTGCCCTCAGCAGTCGACATTTGTGATCTATGGGTCAACCTTGCAACGCAGAGGCTTTTTCTGTCCATCACGGACAGACGAGATTTCTACCGTCAGCTGTGGGCTACTCGGGCTCGCGCCGTGAGCAACACTCTGGGGCCAGGATTGCCTCCTGACCTAGTTTCTGATACAGCGGCCTACCAGCAGTTTCTACAGCAGCAAGCCGCCCACAAGTTTCAGAGGACTGTCCATGGTGATCATCTGGAGGCATTTGACTGTCCACACACAAACAGCCAGAAGCACTCTGGCTCTTCAAGACCGCCTTTGCTGTGGGCAGCTTTCAAAAGTGTGCTTCAAGGGGACCATGCAGGAGTTGAAATTGCAACCAGTGCCCATGTTGGTTTGCTGAAGCGGTATGGATTGTTGACAGAGCAAACGATGATGAGAGCCTGCCGACCATCGTTTAGCAGTGAAGCGATTGAAGGTCTGGTCATCGATGATTTCTTCTGCGTTTCACTGGACTCCACAGGCTCCGAGCCCACCAACACAGAAGCCTACCGGTCCTACCAGAAGGCTCAGAGGGCCTACACGAGCTTCGATATCCAGGGTTCCCCTGAGAAGGACATTGTTGCTGAGAACTCAGGGAAGGTGATTGGAGCTTACATCAACTGCAGCCCCTTTGATCGGTGCTCCGCCTGAGAAAAGATTGAGTCTCTCACTGCTCACACTTCACCTCTGTGGCCTTCCCTACACCACGGTCTCTCTGCACAGATGCATTGCGGGGGCTTGGGTTTCCATGCTCATGCTTCGGAGGCCCATGATGAACTTGCTGAATAAGGCCTTTGCTTTGGTCAACGCCTATATGGATTGGAATGATGCAAGCCTTATCCCCCTCCCTAGGGAGGTAGCAGTTGAGCTCGTTTCGGTGGCCGTTCTGGTGCTTTTGATGCAGACAGATATTTCGGTCCCCTTCTGCGATGCCCTCTTTGCGACCGATGCCTCAGACACACGGGGAGCGATTTGCAAGACCTCAGCAAGTGTCGCTTTGGTGCAGACCCTTAGCAAGCAATGCAAAACAAAGGGGGCCTACACAAGGCTACAGTCTTCGTGGACAACCTTGAAAAGACGAGTTTTTGAGGAAGATGCGATTGAAGAGGAACCAGGAGTGACAGCAGTGCAAAAACCCTTAGCATTTAGCTTCAGCTTCATTGAAGTTTTTGCAGGAGCAGCTCGAGTCACTCGATGGTTGACAAAGATCTTGTGGTCCTCCATTGGATTTGTCCCTCTCTATGGAATACAACCTCAAGCAGGTTTTTGTCCTTGAATGGCTGTTTCATTTGCTGGAGACGGGCACTTTGAGGGGTCTGATGATAGAACCGCCGTGCACTACATTCTCCATCGTGAGGAGGCCTCCATTGCGTGATGCCCTACATCCCTTTGGCTTTGACCCAAAGGAAGAGAAGACACATGATGGCAATGTTCTGGCTCACAGCTGGCATGTTTGAACGACCCTACACTGCTCGTACAAAGCACCTCCCGGCTTATAAGGCTGTGGCTGCACTTCCTATGTCCTCTGAGATCAGAAGCGACTCGTGCCAGTTCGGGTCCCCTCACCAGAAGTCTTTCGCTCTGCTAGGTGTCAACTTGAACATGGCTCCTCTCCAGAGACGATGCCAAGGTCATTGCACCCATATCCCTGTGCAGGGGATCTATACCAAGGCATCAGCAATTTACACTGAGGAGCTCTCAAAGACCATAGCTGAGGTCTTCTATGAGGCGATCCAAAAGGCTTTGAGTTGGAGGAGGATGAGTCTCTCAAAGTGGCAGGTTTGGAAAAGCTTGTGAACGAGGTCATGGTGTCAAGCCCTTGGACCGTTCAGAGTTCATGGAAGTTCAGAAGACCTTCCCATATAAATTTGCTGGAGATGAGAGCCGTCGAGAAGCTGATCGAGAAGCAAGCTAAAGCAGGTCCTCAGAGGACAGTTTGTTTGGTGGACTCAAATGTGACCCGGTGTGCTCTGGGAAAAGGGAGATCATCGTCGCTGGCACTCTCTACAGTCATCAGACGTATCTCCTCTACGATGGTGGCTTTTGGTCAATATTTGGTCACTCCCTTCTGTCCAACTCGGTTGAACTGCGCAGATGATCCAACAAGGGAGAGACCACTACGTCCTCCAGTACCTGGGCTACAGTTGAGCTGCCTTAGCGAGAGTGACCTTTGGGCGATTGCCTCCATCAGACTGACCAATCGATGGGCTTCAAACTGGGTTCGACTTGTCCTCACGGTGCTGGGCCCCTATGTGACCTGTTTGGCAGATCGTTCGTCCTATCGCTTCTCCTATCTCTCTGCAGAGCAGCGTCGTGACTTTGGACATGGCAATCAGAGAGATCATAGCACTTGCGCTCCCGTTGTCGCCTTGGACTTTGATCAAACTTTGGGCTTTCCCGGGGAGGGGCCTTTCTTTGGCACCTTCTCGCCCTGGGTTTGGGCATTCAGTCTTTTGGATTTTGCCTTTGGACTTTTGGATTTTCTCCCGCTTTGCCTCGTCCTTCTCTTTCCCTTCTGGCCTCTTCTTCTCCTGCGCTGTCGCTGGGGTCCTTGCTGGGTGCTGGGTGCTTTAGTGATTTTCCACGGCCCGCCCGGAGCGATTGCCATGGAACCACTGACTTCTAGAGAGCTGGCAAGAGCTGCGCTACGAGCAACCAGGCCGGTTCTGCCGGAGGGACGACCGACATTGGACCGGACAAGTCGTCTGCGTGAAAGGTATTGGCTGCTGCTGCATCCATGGCATGGGCCAGAATCCACATGCAAAGCCCAGCCTCTTTCTGGTTGCGGTACCCCCCATACCTCTCGAGGTAGGTCAGTAGAGAGGAACCTTTGGCCTGCAGTTCCTCCTCGTTTCTTGGGAGGACACTTGACGGGCGCAGCTTTTTGAAAACCTGCTGTTGGATCATCATGAAAAACTGCGACTGTCGGGCAGCCAGGTCCTGTTGGAGTTTTTCTCTTCTGAGAGTGCCTCATGTGGAACTCGAAGTAGCCCCTGCTGAGGTTGCTTCCAGCCCGAAGGGATCGTTCCCTTGAATGAGATGAGTCACCAGGGCTGTCAATGCTGCTGATTGTTGACTCAAGGCTGCTTCGGTCGGGTCTCTGAAAGCTCGCAGGGGGTCCCCGGGGGGAGGACCGATCAGCTGAAGGGCCTTCCCAGGGGCCATCTTGGCGGGTGTTTGGAGTCCGGCTGATACCGGTGGCATCCGATAGCCGGTGCCCCCCAAAATTCCGGGCTCTGCTGCAGGAGTGGCAAATGAAGCCTGGGATGGTTGTGGCAGCGTTGGCGCTTCCTTTGGGCCGGCCTCCTGCCGTGCAGACAGAAGGGCGACCTGGGCAGAAAGTGCTGCCACCTGTTCGGCCAAAGTGGCATTGGTGACTCTTTTGGCTGGGGCTTTCCGAATGGCTGGAGGTCGCGCTTCCTGCTCTTCTCGAGCGCTGTAAAAATGGACCCGTCCAACAGTTTCTTCTTCTGCCCATTGTTGGATGGCTGTTAGCAGATCACCAAATGAAGGTAGGCCCGTAGCAAGCCCCTCACTGTATGGACAAATCTCTTCAAGAGAGTCAGCCACAGGGTCATACTCACGGCACAGCTGAAGGACGGCATCAGTGAAATCAGCTACCAGTATATCAGCTCGTATGCCGGTCTGGAAGGGAACGCCGTGGTCATCTTCATCAGTCAGCTCGACCTCAAAAATACGAGAAGGCCCAACCATCTCTTCATCACTTGCACCAACGGGATGTAGGAGTACGTCATCACGAAACACTCCCACTGGTATAGCTAGCATCAGTCCACCTCTACGAAGAACCAGAGGGCTGGCAAAACATTGCAACTCACCTGCACTTGTTGATAACTCTGCGGGAACTGTGAGGACCAACAGTGTAGGATCTGAATTCGATGCTGCATCCTTCAGCGCCCTCCGTTCCATCGCCACAGAGGTGGCACTGGAACCGTCGCCCCTGCACAGAAGATGTTCAACTCAGTGAGGGAGGGGAGCTTTTCCAAGAAGACGATATCCTCAAACTCGGCGACCAAACGGTCGCAATCTCGCTGCGAGGTCACTCGGAGCAGGTCAAAACCTTCGCCTTTACGGAGCACCCAATGCACAGCCTGAAGTCCAGGCTTGTAGTCACTGTGGTAGTCGGTATGACACTTCCAGAATGCTCTCGCCCAAAATCCTGCCACGTAGGCTGCACGAGCCCTGTCAGCAGCGTTTGCCTTTGCCGACGAAAGGTGCTTCTTGGCAAGGTCGTAGCAAAACTGAGGCGTATCAGGGGGTCCCTCCTCAAACAGAATCACCGGCTCCTTCTGAGTGAAGTCAAGTGGAGCTCCAGCTATGGGTGCACTATCCTCCACCAACTGCCAACCCTCAAGTGTCGACACTGGCCTGCTTGGTCTCTGGGCCAAAGGTGATGACTCACTTGGCTGACCCTCAACTGCCAATGTAAGGGCCTGGATGGCCTGAGTGAGCGCTCGAAGATCTTCTTGAAGATGAGAGGAGCCCAGGTCACTCATGCAAGTAGCCAGCCAGACGTGCCGAGCGACGGCGCAGGTCAGCGGAAGGCTGAGCCCTTAGATCCGGAGATGGAACCGGAAAAGGGCGAAGGAGCTGAAAGGCAAGCCAGAGTCCAAGGCCAAGTCCAATGAGGATGCCAAAAGCAAGGCCAGCAGCCAGAGGAAGCCAAAGGGAAGGATGGCAATGGACGGGGCAGGAGAGAGAGTTCGAGAAAGCCAGCAAGGTGGAAATGCCGTCAGCCACAGCACCCACTGACAACATAAGCTTGAGACGTGCATACGAAAGTCACGGTTAGTGAAGCAATAATGCAAAGTCTACGGTGTAGACGAAACAGTAGAGAGTATGGAACATCAAGGCACAAGACTATGACATGTAGAGCCTTGAGCAAAGAGTTAGGAGCATCCGCCAACAAGTATAAGTACAGATCAATGATGAACCACTCCCAGTTGATCTCCCTTTGTCTCTCCCTGTCTCCCATGGCATGTCTGGATGCTGGGCTGAGATGATTTTGCTTTGTCTCCCTTTGTCTCCCCTTGCCTCCCATGACATGTCTGGATGCTGGGCTGAGACGATTTTGCTTTGTCTCCCTCTCCCCGTGTCTCGCATGGCATGTCTGGATGCTGGGCTCAGATGATTTTGCTTCGTCTCCCTTCGTCTCCCCTTGTCTCCATTGCGTGTTTGGGTGCCGGGCTGAGATCACTTTGCTCGCTGCTGTTTGGGGCCGATGCTGGTGTAATTTTTTTTCCATCTGGCTCCTTCCAGTTCTCCCTACATTGTTTTTGCATTTTTTCACCGTAGGCAACTTAGTACCCTATACTCTCGTCTCTGTACTCTATACTTCTATACTTCATGCTCTCTGCCCAACCTCGAAGTTTCTATTGCAAAAAAGATTTAGAGCAAGGTAGGCGCAACACAAGAACAAAACAAAACAAACAAGTTTTCAGGATCGAAGTGCACCATTGTAGGGTACTTGCTGCTTCGCTCCCTACTTCGTTCCGCCCAGGTTCTGTACTTGTCTAGCTTCGTCACCCTTGCTCTTTTCATGCTCCCGTTGACTCGCCCGCACTCTCTCCGCCATTCAAAGAATAAGAAACAATCGGGACAGGCAGAGTAGGGCAGACGTGTGAAGGCTAGCATAGAGCACAGCAAGGTAGAACAGTTGTTTGAATATATTCCAGGGTGGAGGCTGCCTTCTTCTTCTTGTTCTTGTTCTTACTGTTCTATTGTTCTGTGTGTTCTTACCCTAGTCTATGCAACGGAAGGGTAGATATCAGATAGAGGCCTGATTCAGTAACATAGAAGAGACAAAGCAAAATCATGTCAGCCCAGCATCCAGACACGCCATGAAAGACAAGGGGAGACAAAGGGAGACAAAGCCAAATCATCTCAGCCCAGCATCCAGACATGTCATGGGAGACAAGGGGA